CTTAGCTCCCAGCTCCACGCCTGGCACAAAGTAGGTGCTCAGCAAACACACGCCTGCGCACTCACGCACTCACGGAGTGTTTCCCCCCCCCCCCCCCCCCCGGGCCTCCCTGACTCCGCCCCTGGCTGGGGGGCGGGGCCGACCGGGTTCTCTGTGAAGTCACAAAGGCCGTGCCATGCCTCTGACTTTAGCACTTCTGCTGCTCTTGGACCTGAGTGCCCGACGAGGCTGGGGCTGCCTGCAGTGTGACCACTCGGTGCGGGAAGCCCTGAGCCAGCTGCGCGTCGCCCTCATCCCCGACCGCTTCCATCAAAAGCAGCTGCAGGCCCGCGCTCGGGCCCTGCTGCTGGGCATGGAGGGGCCTTTCTTCCGGGACTATGCGCTGAACGCCTTTGTGGGGAGAGTGGGTGAGTGCTGGGGAGGGGAGGGTGCCTAGCACAGTGGAGAAAGGGACCAGTGGGGCAGCCCGAGGCTGGGCAGGGATACCGACCCTTTGGGGACCACGCCCCCAAGGGGGGAGGGCGGGGCCAATCTCGGAGGGAGCTGGAGGGGATCACTTGGCTCTCGCAGGGACCCCCTGGAATTTCCTCCCCTCTCGCCCCCAGGGATAGAGCACCTGGACTTTGTGGCATCCTTTATCAAGAATCAAACAACTTAATGGTTAATTCTCTTAGAGGTAGGAGCTAAGAGGGAAAGCCTTTTTCCAGCCCCTTTTCCCTTCCTCCCTTTCCACCGGTTCACCACGCCTTCTCTTGATGTAAAAATAAAAGCAAACACGCTGTACAGCCTTTACTGTGTCAGAGTTCTAGAAAAGTCTAGGACAGGTCATCAAGGTGGGCGGTATTGTGATCTGCCCTTTACAGAGGGGGAGGCTGAGGCTCAGAGAGGTTAGGCGACATACCCAAAGTCACACAGCTAGGAATAACAGAGCTGAGGATTTGAACCTGGGACATCCAGCTTAGACCCTTATATTCCTAACCATCACCCCATGAGGTGTCTCCTGGTTTTGTATTCAGCGGCTCCTGGGACGCCACTCTCAAGGTTGGTCCTTGGAAATCATTGTGGCCATTAAGACAGTTCCTAACGGGAGGGCAGTAGAGGGTCCTGTGGACTGGAGTGGGAGGACGGATCTAAGCCCCAGGAACCTCACCCCACTTTGAGGGATGGAGCAGGGAGAAGGGCACCACGGAAGAGGCCACCATTTTTTTTTTTTAAGATATGAAATGTTTGTGTGTGTGTAGTTTGTATAAAGCGAGCCCTGAAAGAGGAATGGGGGTGGGGAGGTGGGTAGATTCGCAGAATACTGATGTCGGTTGTCCTAGGATAAGGGAACAGAAGGTGATGTATGCTTTTCTTGCCTATGCTTGTCAAATTGCTGTGGATTTCCATTTCCTTTTCTTTTTCCCTCCCTCCCCTTTTTAATAACGAATATGCAGTAGTCACAGAATCAGGAGGAAATAACAATCATTTTAATTACATTAAAAAATTAAATTTTATCTCAATTTTTAGAATTGCCCTACCATTTAGTGAATATGAAACTTTAAAAAACAATGCATACTAAGGAGTGCAGGGCTTTTGCGGGGGCAGGGAGAGGTAATGAATATTCTAAAATTGTGGCGATGGTTACATAACTCTGGGAATAATCTAAAAGCCGTTAAATTGTGTACTTTAAATGGGTGAATTGTATAGTATGTGAGTTATGTCTCAGTAAAGCTGTCCAAAAAAAAAAATCCAAATGTGTATAGTCCCCTTTGACCAGGCCCCTTCCTGGGAACTTTAAACACTGGAAGGTCTGTTCTCAGCTGGCGGACAGGGAATGAGTTTGAGTTCTCATTCCAGACCTTTGAGAGAGGTGTAGAAATTACAGTGGAGGTCCTGAGGGTGGACTGCCCTGGAATCAAAGCCTGGCTAACCTTCAGCAAGCTATTTAACATCTTTGTGCCTCGGTTTCCTCATCTGTAAAATGGGAGTAATAGCACTCACCCCATAGTCACTGAGAACCATAAAGAGGTCTGTGAAGGTGCATTTAGCCCACAGTAAGTGCTCAATAAATGTTAGTTATTAAGATGATTATGCTGCATCTTGCGTCTCTGTCTAGAGCAGGAATTGGCAAAATATAGCCTGGGGGCCAAATCTGCAAATAAAGTTTTATTGGAACACAGCCACACCCATTCATGTATTTACTGTCTATGTTGCTTTTGCTCTCCAAGGCAGAGCTGAGTAGGGACAATGACCATATGGCCCTCAAAGCTGAAAATATTGACTGTCTGGACCTTCACAGAAAAAGCTTAGAGCAGGAGGTCTCAACTCAGGCTGCAGGTTGGAATCCCCTGGGGAACTTTTAAGACAATCCAGGAGCCCAGGCAGCAGCCCATGCCAATTAAATCAGAATATCAGGGGGTGGGGCCTGAACATCAGTAATTTTTAAACTCTCACTTTTTAAAAAAAGTGATTTTTATATTTTGAAAAAATTCAAATGGATAGAAAAGTGGCAAGAGTAGTACAATAAACACCTATACACCATTCTTAACATTTCACTATATGGTAACCATTGCCACATTTGGGGTGTGTGTGTGTGTGTGTGTGTGTGTGTGTGTGTGTGTACCATTTGAGACTTAGTGATACTTCAACCCTAAATTCTTCAGCAGGCAATCAGGCAATCTCCTAAAAACAAGGAAAGACATTCTCTTACACAGTGAGTGTACCTAGGAATTTAATCAATTCCATACTATCCTCTAATATTCAAACCTCATTAAAATGTCCCCAACTGTCTCAATCATGCCCTTCATGTCTAGTTTTCTTTCAGTGCTGGATCTGTTCTGGGATCATGCATTGCATTCAGTTGTCTTTTATGATGATGACATTTTTGAAGAGTCCAGGCCAATGATTTTACCAACTATTATTATATTATTGGGGTTGGTTACATAGGCAAGGAGCACCCAAGTGGCTTTTCTCAGTTATTCTGTCTCCAGCCCCACCAGAGGTCAAGCTGCTACTGTGTTGGCCCAAGGCCACCACCATGAATCACATTGTTAGCACAGACGGTGTGGTGTGACCCAAGGCTTCCAAGTAAAGAAAGACACACTTAACAGGCGGGTTATTCCAAGGACTTAGAGATTACCTCCCAGGAACGAGGCAAGAACCAAGACTTTTTTTTTTTTGGAATGTGCAGGGTTTGGAAAACTCAGACCTGCTGAGTTAACCCTTTACTGTAAAATATAACATGTCAAATGGGGACAAATACTACAGAGGAAAAAAATAAAGCAGGGACCAGGGGATGGAGAGTACTGGGAATAGGGGCAGGGCTTGCAGGTTAAAATAGGACAGCCAAGAAGGATGTCACTGAAAGGTCAGCACGTGAGAAAAGATGTGGAGGAGAGGGGGAAGCAGCTGTGAAAGGGTAGAAGTCTAGGCTAGAAGGCTGTAGGCAGAAAGGACAGCGACTGCAGTGCCTGAGATGAGACTGTGATTGGCATATTCACAGAACCTTGAAGAGGCCAGGGAGGCTGGAGTGGAGAGAGAGGGAGAGATGTAGAAGCTGAGGTCCTAGAGGTAAGGGGAAGAGGATGAGTAGGTTGGTACCCATCAACTGGAAGGGACTTATAATGGTAAGGACTTTCCTCATCACTTCTCTTTTTTTATTTTTTTATTTTTTGGCTGCACCACAACCAGGGATTGAACCCACACCCTCGGCAATGAAAGCGTGGAGTCCTAACCACTGGACCACTGGACCACTGAAGAGATTATAGTCAAAAACTTCCCTAACATGGGAAAGGAAATAGTCAATCAAATCCAGGAAGCACAGAGAGTACCACACAGGATAAACCCAAAGAGAAACACACCAAGACACATATTAATCAAACTATCAAAAATTAAATACAAAGAAAAAATACTAAAAGCAGCAAGGGAAAAGCAACAAATAACACACAAGGTTATATGTTAACCCCATAAGATTAACAGCTGAGTTTTCAGCAGAAACTCTGCAAGCCAGAAGGGAGTGGCAGGACCTATTTAAAGTGATGAAAGGGAAAAAGCTACAACCAAGATTACTCTACACAGCAAGGATCTCATTCATGTTCGATGGAGAAATTAAAACCTTTACAGATAAGCAAAAGTTAAGAGAATTCAGCACCACCAAACCAACTTTACAACAAATGCTAAAGGAACTTCTCTAGGCAGGAAACACAAGAGAAGGAAAAGACCTACAGAAACAAACCCAAAACAATTAAGAAAATGGTAATAGGAACATACATATTGATAATTACCTTAAATGTAAATGGATTAAATGCTCCAACCAAAAGACATAGACCAGCCGAGTGGATACAAAAACAAGACCAGTACATATGCTGTCTACAAGAGACCTACTTCAGACATAGGGACACATACAGACTGAAAGTGAGGTGATAGAAAAAACATTCCATGCAAATAGAACTCAAAAGAAAGCTGGAGTAGCAAGTCTCATATCAGACAAAATAGACTTTAAAGACTATTACAAGAGACAAAGAAGGACACTACATAATGATCAAGGGATCAATCCAAGAAGAAGATATAGCAATTGTAAATATTTATGCACCCAACATAGGAGCACCTCAATTCATAAGGCAAATGCTAACAGCCATAAAAGGGGAAATTGACAGTAACACATTCATAGTAGGGGACTTTAACACCCCACTTTCACCAATGGACAGATCATCCAAAATGAAAATAAATAAGGAAACACAAGTTTTAAATGACACATTAAACAAGATGGACTTAATTAATATTTATAGGACATTCCATCCAAAAACAACAGGATACACTTTCTTCTCAAGTGTTCATGGAACATTCTCCAGGATAGACCATATCTTGGGTCTCAAATCAAGCCTTGGTATATTTAAGAAAATTGAAATCATATCAAGTGTCTTTTCTGACCACAAAGCTATGAGACTAGATATCAATTACAGGAAAAAAAACTGTAAAAAATACAAACACATGGAGGCTAAACAATACCCTACTAAACAACCAAGAGATCACTGAAGAAATCAAAGAGGAAATCAAAAAATACCTAGAAACAAATAACAATGAAAACACGATGACCCAAAACCTATGGGATGCAGCAAAAGCAGTTCTAAGAGGGAAGTTTATAACAACACAACCCTACCTCAAGAAACAAGAAAAATCTCAAATAAACAACCTAACCTTACACTTAAAGCAATTAGAGAAAGAACAAAAACACCCCAAAGTTAGCAGAAGGAAAGGAATCATAAAGATCAGATCAGAAATAAATGAAAAAGAAATGAAGGAAACAATAGCAAAGATCAATAAAACTGAAAGCTGGTTCTTTGAGAAAATAAACAAAATTGACAAATCATGAGCCAGGCTCATCAAGAAAAAAAGGGAGAAGACAAATCAACAGAATTAGAAATGAAAAAGAGAAGTAACAACTGACACTGCAGAAATACAAAGGATCATGAGAGATTACTAAAAGCAACTATATGCCAATAAAATGGACAACCTGGAAGAAATGGACAAATTCTTAGAAAAGCACAACCTTCCAAGACTGAACCAGGAAGAAACTGAAAATATAAACAGACTAATCTCAAGCACTGAAATCGAAACTGTCATTAAAAATCTTCGGACAAACAAAAGCCCAGGACCAGATGGCTTTACAGGTGAATTCTACCAAACATTTAGAGAAGAGTTAACACCTATCCTTCTCAAACTCTTCCAAAATATAGCACAGGGAGGAACACTCCCAAACTCATTCTACAAGGCCATCATCACACTCATACCAAAACCAGACAAAGATGTCACACAAAAAGAAAACTACAGGCCAATATCACTGATGAACATAGATGCAAAAATCCTCAACAAAATACTAGCAAACAGAATCCAACAGTACATTAAAAGGATCATACACCATGAGCAAGTGGGGTTTATCCCAGGAATGCAAGGATTCATCAATATACACAAATCAATCAATGTGATACACCATATTAACAAACTGAAGGATAAAAACCATATGATAATCTCAATAGATGCAGAAAAAGCTTTTGACAAAATTCCACACCCATTTATGATAAAAACTCTCCAGAAAGTAGGTATAGAGGGACGCTACCTCAACATAATAAAGGCCATATGACAAACCCACAGCCAACATCATTCTCAATGGTGAAAAACTGAAACCATTTCCTCTAAGATCAGGAACAAGACAAGGTTGCCCACTCTCACCACTGTTACTAAATATAGTTTTGGAAGTTTTAGCCACAGCAGTCAAAGAAGAAAAAGAAACTAAAGGAATCCAAATCAGAAAAGAAGAAGTAAAACTGTCACTGGTTGCAGATGACATGATGCTATAGATAGATAATCCTAAAGATGCTACCAGAAAACTACTAGAGCTAATCAATGAATTTGGTAGAGTAGCAGGATACAAAATTAATGCACAGAAATCTCTTGCATTCCTATACACTAATGATGAAAAATCTGAAAGAGAAATTAAGGAAACATTCCCATTTACCATTGCAACAAAAAGAACCAAATAACCTAGGAATAAACCTACCTAAGGAGACAAGAGACCTGTAGGCAGAAAGCTGTAAGACACTGATGAAAGAAATTAAAGATGATACAAACAGATGGAGGGATATACCATGTCCTTGGATTGGAAGAATCAACATTGTGAAAATGACTATACTACGCAAAGCAATGTACAGATTCAATGCAATCCCTATCAAACTACCACTGGCATTTTTCACAGAACTAGAATAAAAAATTTCACAATTTGTATGGAAACACAAAAGACCCCGAATAGCCAAAGCAATCTTGAGAAAGAAAAACGGAGCAGGAGGAATCAGGTTCCCAGTCTTCAGACTATACTACAAAGCTACAGTAATCAAGACAGTATGGTACTGGTACAAAAACAGATATATAGATCAATGGAACAGGATAGAAAGCGCAGAGATAAACCCACACACATATGGTCACCTTACCTTTGATAAAGGAGGCAAGAGTATACAATGAGAAAAGACAACCTCTTCAATAAGTGGTGGTGGGAAAACTGGACAGCTACATTTAAAAGAATGAAATTAGAACACTTCCTAACACTGTACACAAAAATAAACTCAAAATGGATTAAAGACCTAAATGTAAGCCCAGACACTATAAAACTCTTAGAGGAAAACATAGGCAGAACACTCTATGACATAAATCACAGAAAGGTCCTTTTTGACCCACCTCCTAGAGAAATGGAAATAAAAACAAAAATAAACAAATGGTACCTAATGAAGCTTAAAACCTTTTGCACAGCAAACGACGCAACGACAAAGGATTAATCTCCAAAATATACAAGCAGCTCATGCAGCGCAATATCAAAAAAAAAAAAAAAAAAACCAATCCAAAGATGGGCAAAAGACCTAAATAGGTATTCCTCCAAAGAAGATATACAAACACATGAAAAGATGCTCAGCATCACTAATCATTAGAGAAATGCAAATCAAAACTTCAATGAGGTATCACCTCACACTGGTCAGAATGGCCATCATCAAAAAATCTACAAACAAATGCTGGAGAGGGTGTAGAGAAAAGGGAACCCTCTTGCATTGTTGGTGGGAATGTAAATTGATACAGCCACTATGGAGAACATTATGGAGGTTCCTTAAAAAACTAAAAATAGAACTACCGTATGACCCAGCAATTCCACTACTGGGCATATACCCTGAAAAAACCATAATTCAAAAAGAGTCATGTACCACAATGTTCATTGCAGCACTATTTACAATAGCCAGGACATGGAAGCAAGCTAAGTGTCCATCGACAGATGAATGGATAAAGAAGATGTGGCACATATATACAATGGAATATTACTCAGCCATAAAAAGAAACGAAATTGAGTTATTTGTAGTGAGGTGGATGGACATAGAGTCTGTCATACAGAGTGAAGTAAATCAGAAAGAGAAAAACAAACACCGTATGCTAACACATATATATGGAATCTAAAAAAAAAAAAAAGGTTCTGATGAACCTAGGGGCAGGATAGGAATAAAGACACAGACATAGAGAATGGACTTGAGGACACGGGGAGGGGGAAGGGTAAGCTGGGACGAAGTGAGAGAGTAACACTGACGTATATACACTACGAAATGTAAAATAGATAGCTAGTGGGAAGCAGCTGCATAGCACAGGGAGATCAGCTCGGTGCTTTGTGACCACCTAGAGGGGTGGCATAAGGAGGGTGGGAGGGAGACGCAAGAGGGAGGGGATATGGGAATATACGTATGCATATAGCTGATTCACTTTGTTATACAGCAGAAACTAACACAGCATTATAAAGCAATTATACTCCAATAAAGATGTTAAAAAAAAAAAAGTAGTTCCTTTGAAGCCAAATTCACCCCAATTTTAGGGAAAGGGAAATGGAGACAGGTGCATTTGTCAATATGATAGACCCAACCAGATTGAACATGTGACTGTCAATATAAAAATTATTATATTTTGGTGTGTGTAAGGGTTATAGAGTGACTCAGTTTATCTGAATTCAAAGAATTCATAAAAAGAGGTTTCATTTGTGTGATGCTTTATAGTTAACTGTTTTTAAAGTTGCAGCAATGTTCACAACTCTGTGAACATTATGTAATCCTTAATAAAAAGAGGAGAAAATGAAAATTAAAAAAAGTAGAGGTAGACTTCCCTGGTGGCGCAGTGGGTAAGAATCCGCCTGCCAATGCAAGGGACATCGGTTTGATCCCTGGTCCGGGAAGATCCCACATGCTACGGAGCAACTAAGCCCGTGTGTCACAACTACTGAGCCTGCGTTTCAGGGCCTGTGAGCCACAACTACTGAGCCCCACTTGCTGCAACTACTGAAGCCCACACGCCTAGAGCCGGTGCTTGGAAGCAAGAGAAGCCACCACAATGAGTAGCCTGCACACGGCAAGGAAGAGTAGCCCCATGCTCACCACACCTAGAGAAAGCCCACTCACAGCAACGAAGACCCAACGCAGCCAAAAATAAATAAATAAAATAAATAAATTTATTTAAAAAAAAAAAAGAACATAGACCCTAGACTGTTTGAAACCAGAAGACTGATGATGCTTGAAACTTCACTTTGATGCCAAGCAATCCGAGAATTGTCCACAAGCTGATCACTCCCTGCTCCTTGAACACTATAAAACTCCTCACTACCCACTCCAAGGTGGGTCACACAGTCTTGAGGGCATTAGCCCCCTGTGGCCCCTTTGCCTGGCAAAGCAATAAAAGCTACTCTTTTCTACTTCACCCAAAACTCTGACTCCGCGTTTCTATTCAGCACCGATGAACAGAGTCTGAGTTTCGGCAACAGGATTTTATTATTCTGATGTATTAACAGACGAATTTATAATAACCCAGCGCATCCTTGCATTCCTGGCCATCTCCAGCTCCCACTATAGGGGTTTATTTCCTTTACCACGCTGCCCTTTAAGAGGTGATGGATGAAACTGAGCCAAACAGGAAGGCGGTTGCCCAGGGAAATTGAATAATTAAGTAACAGAGTCTCGATTCATTCACCATCAGTTTAGGTGGTGTCTTGAAAACTTTTGCTTTGGTAGGAGAAATTTGAGTTAGATGGGTTAACTGGATTATGACGTCGCCTCCTGTGGAGGGCAGTGAAAAACTCTGGCTATAATGGAAATATTCACAGTGCCAGTACAGCCATACAGTTGCCAAATACCATGTTTCGGCCAGCTGCAAAGTAGCTGTTTACAGCATTCTTTCTCCCGCCCCACGTTCTACTGGAGGACTCCATTTCCCAGCATTCCCCTGCCCTCAGAGACCTTAGGCCTAGAGGAGCGTGAGCCGCAGTGGTTTCTGGGAAATACAGTCCAGCTGCGGAGCGCAGTTTAAAGAACGAGGACTTGAGGTTCCGAGACAGCGACCGCGCAGGCGCCTTCCGGGGCCCGAAGGAGGGCGGGAAGGCCTGGCCGCCGTGCACAACCCGCGGAGGCGCACAGGTGAGTTCCGAACTGGCGGACCCGAGAGGCTGCCGGTGGGTGTGGGCTGACTGAGGCAGGCGCGCAGGAGGCGGACCGAGTCTGACTGGGTGGGAGGGGAAGGGCGCTGTGGGCGGCGCCCCGCCCCCTCCTGTCACTCGTGAGGCTGCCCCAGAGCTCCACTGCCATCGACTCAACGCACAGAATTGGGAGCCCGCTGTTTTCCAGGAGTCTAGCCGAGTGCGGTTCTGCGGCCATTTCCCAGGAGGGAGAATGTACCTTTTCGTCACTTAGCAGGTGAAGAACAGGCAAGGGAGATTCCATGGCTTCTTCCAGATCACAATGCCGATGAGTTGTCGACATGGTGTGAAACCAGGGATGTCTGACCCGAAAGCCCTAGCCCCTCTGGGTCTCATCTCCCCTCTCTAATCTCCCACCACCACCCCAACGCCCATTCTGCCTCTCTCTCTCTCCCTGTGTCTCTGCTTCTCTTTCTCTGTGTCTGTCCCCTTCTCTCTGGGCCTCTGCGTGCCCCCAGCCTCCATAAGTCTGTGTGTTTTTTCTAAAAACAGTCATTTTCTTCCAAAACCATTGCACTATGCTCACATCAGGAAATGAACATCCATACAATACTATTGATTAGCTAATCTGCAGGCCTTTTTCAGATTTTGCTAATTGTCCCAATAATGTCCTTAATAGCAAAAGAAAATCCCGTGTCATGCACTGCATTCGTTGTCGCCACTTTAGTCTCCGTTAACCTGGAACAGTTGTTCAGTCTTTCTTTGACCTTCATGATCTTAGCAATTCTGAAGATTGCAGACCATGTACTTCTAGAATGTCCCTCAGTTTGGATGTGTTGGTTGTTCCCTTGTGATTAGATTTAGGCTACATGCTTTTGGCAGAAATACCTTAGGAATGATGCTGTGTCCTTAACAGAGCAGGAGCCTGTGATGTCCGCTTGCCCATCACTGGTCACATTGGCCTCGATCACTTGGCTAAGGTGGCACCTGCCAAGTTTCTCCCCTTTAAAAAGTTATCCTCGGGCTTCCCTGGTGGCGCAGTGGTTAAGAATCCGCCTGCCAATGCAGGGGACATGGGTTCGAGCCCTGGTCTGGGAAGATCCCACATGCTGCAGAGCAACTAAGCCCTTGCGCCACAACTACTGAGTCTGCGCTCTAGAGCCCGGGAGCCACAACTACTGAAGCCTGCGTGCCTAGAGCTCGTGCTCCGCAACAAGAGAAGCCACCGCAATGAAAAGACCATGCACCGCAACGAAGAGTAGCCCCTGCTAGCCGCGACTGGAGAGAGCCCACGTGCAGCAATGAAGACCCAATACAGCCAAAAATAAATTAATTAATTAAATTAATTTTTTAAAAAAAGTTCTCTTCGTTTTGTAATTACAGTAGATCCCATTATCTTCGGAGGGTACATTCCAAGGCCCCCAGTGGATGGCTGAAATCTTGGATAGTACTGAACCCTCTATATACTGTTGTTAACCTAAAGAATAAAGCAGCGGGTTATTTTACCAGCAAAATGGGCTTATTCAGGAACACCAAAGAATTGCAATTCGGGACAAGCAGGCTATAGCAAAAGCCATAGGAAGTCCAACAAACAAGAGAGGAACTTTATCTTATATAGAAAAAAAAAAACACAGGAAATTGAGAGGAGTTCTTTTGAATGAAAGTCCATTAGAGAAAAGTGAGAATTCAGAGTGGTGATGGTTTCTCATTGGCCTAGTTGCTGTGGTAGTTGATTTCTTGTAGGGGATGCAATGTACATCTTTTCTGGTTGGGGCCTATAATAGATGGTTCTTTCCTGCTGAAGCTTCTTCCATTAGGGCCTGTGATGGTTGTGGAGTGGTGCTGCTTGAGAACTCCCCCTCCTGGCCTCGCAGCTCCACTTTTTAAATAATCTGATCTAATCTAATCTAATTTAATTTTTGGCTGCGCCACGCGGCATATGGGATCTTACTTCCCTGAACAGGGATCAAACCCACGCCCCCTGCATTGGAAGCATGGAGTCTTAACCACTGGACCGCCAGGGAAGTCCCCCAACTCCACTTTAAATGAGGTTCACTTTTATTAATTTTCACACAGTTTTTTTCTAAACATTCGTACCTATGATAAAATTTCATTTACAAATTAGGCACAGTAAGAGATTAACAATAATAACTAATAATAAAATAGAACAACTTTAAGAATATACAGTAATAAAAGTTTTGTGAATGTGGGCTCTCTCAAAAAATCTCATTGTACAAATTTAATGCCTCTTCTGTAAAGCACTTATGCTTATGCGCTGTGGCTGTAACTTTTGCAGTTAGTTGGGGGTGTTTTGTTTTTTTGTTTTTTTGGCCACGCGGCTTGTGGGATCTTCCCCGACCTGGGATTGGACCCGGGGCCATGGCAGTGAAAGCGCTGAGTCCTAACCACTGGACCACCAGCAAAGTCCTGAATTTCTTTTTCTTTCGTCACAATTTCACAGATAGAAGATTCATTCTTAACGTAGATCTTAGCAACCTCAGCATATGATTTTTTTTCTTTTGTTTTTAAAATTTTATTTATTTTTGGCTGTGTTGGGTCTTCGTTGCTGTGCGCAGGCTTTCTCTGGTTACGGCGAGCGGGGACTACTCTTCATTGCGGTGCGCTGGCTTCTCATTGCGGTGGCTTCTCTTGTTATGGAGCACGGGCTCTAGGCGCACGGGCTTCAGTAGCTGTGGCCCGTGAGCTCAGTAGTTGTGCCACATGGGCTCTAGAGCGCAGGCTCAGTAGTTGTGGCGCACAGGCTTAGTTGCTCTGTGGCATGTGGGGTCTTCCCGGACCAGGGCTCAAGCCCGTGTCCTCTGCATTGGCAGGCGGATTCTTAACCACTGCACCACCAGGGATGTCCCGGCAGACAGATTCTTGACCACTGCGCCACCAGGGAAGTCTGATATTTTTTTCTGTCTTTACTGAGATCTTTTACCTTTTCACTTAAAGGAAGCACTTTACAGCTTCTCTTTGGCATATTCGAATTATCAGCATCATTACTCTTGCACTTTGGGGCCATTACTAAGTAAAATAAGGGTTGCTTGAACACAAGCACTGTGATACCGCGACAGTCCATCGAGACAACTACTAAGTGACTATGGGGCAGGATACGCTGGACAAGGGGATGATTCATGCCCCAGGTGGGATAGAGCGGGATGGCGCAAGATTTTATCACGATACTCAGAATGGTGTGTGATTTAAAACTTGTGAATTGTTTCTTTATGGAACTTTCCATTCAGTGTTTTTGGACCACAGTTGACCTCAGGTAACTGAAACCGTGGAAAGCGAAGCTGCGGATAAGGGGGCACTACCGTAGTAAGTGACTCATGAGGAGGTGGTTAAGCCTCTGTTCCTCATCAAAATTTCACCCACTGGTTTCAGCCCTCAGGTGGGTGCGTTCCTGTGTAGCTGGGTGTACGTGCAGCTGTTAGCCTGGAAGCACGTGAGGCTCTGAGTCTTTATTTCTGGACCGTGTTAGTTTCCCATTTCTGCTCTAACAAATTACCAGAAACTTAGTGGCTTCAAACAATACAGATGTAATATTCTCTTACAGTTCTGGAGGCCAGAAGTCTGAACTGGTTTTCACTGGGCAGCAATCAAGGTGTCAGCAGAGCCATGCTTCCTTCAGAGGCTCTAGGGGAGAATCGGTTTCCTGGCCTTTAGCAGCTTCTAGAGGCTGCTTGCATCCCATGGCTCATGGCGCCTTCCTTCGGCTTCAAAGCCAGAGGCATAGTGCCTTGTCTCTCTGACTCTGCTCCTCTTTACTTCTGTCACATGGGCTTCCCCTCCGTGTCAGATCTCCCTCTGCCTCCCTCTTATAAGGACACTTGTCATTGCATTTAGAGTCCACCCAGATAATCCAGGATCATCTTCCCATCTCAAGATGCTTAACTTGAGAGGCAGTGTTCCAGGCTGGGGTTACAGTCCTGCCCAAAGACTCAAACCTAGTGTTTTTTATCTACCTTGCAGTGTATGGGGCTTTCCAGAACCCACAGATATCAATCCCTCCAGGCAGCCTGTGGAAAGGTCACATATTTAACTTGGTTTTTCTAAGAACTTGCTGGGGCTATGAGCTCACAGCCTGGCTCTGTTACAAATGTTACAAGTGGGGGTGGTCTGCACAGAGCCCGCTCTGCTCTGAGTCAGGAGAGGCTGGCTGCATTCAGGAACTCATCACCCCCCCAAAAAGGAAAAAAAAAGATGCTTAACTTAATCACATCAAAAGTTCATTCCAGGCCTTGCCTAGTGGCGCAGTGGTTAAGAATCCGCCCGCTAATTCAGGGTCCACGGGTTCAAGCCCTGGTCCGGGAAGATCCCACATGACGTGGAGCAACTAAGCCCCAGCGCCACAACTACTGAGCCTGTGCTCTAGAGCCTGTGAGCCACAACTACTGAGCCTGCGCCCTTAGAACCTGTGCTCCACAAGAGAAGCCACCACAATGAGAAGCCCGCGCATGCAACAAAGAGTAGCCCCCGCTCACCGCAACTAGAGAAAGCCTGAGCGCAGCAAAGAAGACCCAACGGCAGCCAAAAATTTAAAAATTAATTAATTAATTAATTGTTTTTAAAAGTTCATCCCAGGGATATCATTTTGTTTTTACATCTTTATTGGAGTATAATTGCTTTACAATGGTGTGTTAGTTTCTGCTTTATAACA